CAACCATTTATAGACAAACATCTCCACCTGTTTGAGCACTTCCCCAGGCTTCTAATAAATTTGCGTAGAGTGTTCAGTAGTTTCCTGAAATTAGCGCGTTCCAAAAAACAAACAAATAAACTCTACAGCTTTATATATTATATATTTTTATCTTTTGATAAGCAACTATAATATATTATAATATTTCATATAGGTGTATACAAGTGATTGTGATAATATATATTGTTCCACCTGTTGATGGTTGAACTACATAACTACTCGTGTTGTTCACTGAAATTATTTAAAATTATTATATATACACATGATAACGCCATCATTCTTATCTCCTTCATTGGATTCATAACTCTGTCCCTGTTTTCCAATCTTCCTGATTCTGGATTTTATTTTCCCATTTCCTCGGTTTCAGTGTTTCCTCGCCAATCTATGTACATCACTTAATCGGTCTTTCTCCGGAACGCAATCATTACATCCGTTTTATTTAATTTATATATATTATCTATATACCGGCCTGTGCATAAATTATTGTTTATCACCCATATTATGTACTCAACTGTAAAAACTGACTTTTGTGTTGTTGTAAAGTAGATGTTTATTTTTTGGTCTAGAATCACTTATTCACTTCGATAAACTAAAAACATGTTTTCTTAATTAGGCGTACAATTATATGCCTAAACATATATATACAAGAACATATATACGTACCTATTTCTCTACAGTTCTCACATCAAATTATTCAAGTGAATTTTAAAATGTCTCATGCACGTTTCATTTATTTTAAGTGTTGAAATACACACACTCATTAAGCACGTTAAATCTATGTATATATTTTCGTTTTAATTAGATGCTCCGAAAGTAATAGGTAGCTCTGAAAAAAAAACATTATGCGATATTTTCTTTTGCAAAAACATACACATATTTGTATATTTAATATATATTATGTACTGTGCTGAACAGCTATTGTAACTAAACACTGAATTATCTTGCCATTACCACAGTCTCTATTGAAATCTTGACCCACCTGTAAATGCATGTAGATATTATTACAAAAAATAAAGACATAGAGTAAATTGTCTTCTGGGTATAACGTTACACATTACACAAATTAATAACCATACAGCGAGTCTGGTCAGACGTTTTGAACCTATAAAGGTTCGATGGTCATTTTCGGAATAGCGAACCCTATATTTTAAAATATATATAACAATAAATACGTGTACGATTGAAGTTCTTATCGTTATTATTATTACTTATTAGGGTTATGTCAACCTTACATCAACTGCATATAATAATATGTGTCTTATACAAACTATAATATATTATAGTCTATACCTATATAGATCAAAACATAATTTTGTCGCCAAATTATACAAATTGTCGAAGCAACTTGATTCAAAAATTAGTTGTGTACATCATTTAAATAAACAAAAAAAAAATGTTTCATTCATTGTCTATAGCTGCTATCAAAACATACAGCAATGCCCTAATGTCTGTAACTTTTAGACTCGAAAACTGAACGATAGGTTTCAATGGAAGTTTCAGTGATTGTTTTTAGCGATATTAGGAAAGTTTAGAGAATAGTTTGAACCACGTTCAAAAATATACCAAGAGCAAAATTCAATCCGCCGCAGTCCGATTGCCTGTCTCGGTTGAATTAGGTCAGAAGCAGAGTAGCACCGATTCCGATGTGCACATGAACCGTCAACTCTAAAAACGCGAGATACGCCGATCTAGCCCCGTGTTTTAAGTTTGTTCGTTTGTTTCCCCGAGTTAAGTCAGGTTATACAGCTAGTATATGTGTATATTTGATTCTTAATTAAGACGATTAATATGCCTTTAATTGAGGGGACGTAATGCTAATTTGAGGGGACGTAATGCTAACGCAGTCACTCGGAGTAATGACACCATGGGAAAAAAAAAATATATATACCTTTAATGTAGAATGCAATAAATAGAAAAAACATTTTTTATCAAGAAATTGAAATATTTTGAATTGTAAGCGCCATCACACAGCCCCCCCTCAACTACACCATTTTTTATGCATTCCTGGACAACACGTAATAAATGCCAATAATTGTTTTAAATTGTTATACTACTTTTTATATTATATTAGGTATAGAATACGTTTAGTGTGGGTAATTAAAAAATCATATAAAACGCTGCAGAAGCTGCTACAATTCTATGAAACTCTATACATCATACATGACATAGTAATAATATCACAGTACCTAAATACCTAATGCCTATGGATGCGTTGTTCATCTGTACGATTACTATAATATTCGAATCTTGTATAAAGAGAACGAGAGATTTCAACTTTGAAATGACATCCATACCCGCGGCAGCTCGGTTACCGTAATAATAGTATAAACCACGGCCATTGTGCATATAATTATACTCACGGGTCATAATACCTTATAATCGTGTACCTTATAATATGTTGTTATTTAATCTAATCTGATATGCATAATAATATGTCAACTACTTGTGGGATACACCGTTTCGCAACTAAAAACACGACATGGTCCCCAAACCTGTACGGCCGCGTGTGTCATAAAAAAAAATTGAAAATTATATTATTGTAAATGTTTGGATTTATTCAGTATTCATAACGGACGAAGGTTCTATTTCGATTTCGTGTGTACCTATACATAGATTATTATTATATCGTTTTTATAGAGCACAGCTCAGTATTCCGGTCGCTATGAGAAAATATTTAATTTCGCACGAATTTTGTTCGCGTTGAGTTATGACGCTATCGTGACTATAATACCTACGTCCCTATGTTTAGAATCGAAAGCGACGAAATAATTCGAGTAAAATTAAAGTATTACTTATATAGAAAGTATCGGAAGGCATATTATATTATACACGACATACCTATGACATTACGATTTTAGCTCGTATACATTATATAGGTATATAATATATATAGGAGCTCTGTGGTCCCGTCAAGTCTTCTCGTATTATTATATATCAAACATTTGATCGCGTGATCGTGAGGTGGTTAAAAAATACATTATTTCGATGAATAGAATAATTAACAGTCACCACGTCGTCGTCACAATGATGTATCCCATTCGTTGTCAACGCGAACAAATTTATTAAATATATTCGTAAGCCTATACATTCATACGCGAATCATTATATACAAAGAGACTTATTGTGTTATTTGTTTCATAGACGGCATCTTAAGAATGTAATAAATAATAATATTATACGATGACGGGGCTCCGAAAAACCGTTCGCGAGCATATTGTGTTGTATTTGTTTCGCATACAGCGTGTTAAAGTACAATATAAATTATAATGATGAAATAATATATATAATATTTCTATATTTTATATGCACCACTCGAGGGGTTATTTTAAACGAATCACTCGTTATTATGCCATAGTGCCGTGTTAAAGTTTTTGAATTTTTTGTTTTATTGATTTTGAAGTAGCTGCAGGTGCCTACAACTACAAAAAGGACATTTTTCCTAATTTTTTAAGTTTGGATAAACGGAATATAATGTCACGGGGATACTCCATATACTTTTGGTTCACTACTCAGCTATTTGCCTAAAGTTTAAATAAGTACTCTTAAGTCTTGACTATAAATAACTGTTCGTTCGAATTGTATTTTGAAATTCTCAGAAAAACACATTGCTTTATGTAGCAAATCATAGATATACAAATCTCCTGTTATTGAAAAATTAACAAAAACTTAGAAAATCATAATAAATGATTTATATTGAAAAATATAATTTTTGTCAAATTGTCGTTTTGTTTCAAAAATACTTGTTGTAATAATTTTCATAAATATTAATACTTTTCAAGATAATAAGTGTTTATTGACTACTGTGCAGTGTGAATACGAAGGTACGACCGGGCAATGAGTAACTGTTATGGGTGCGGTACATCTAAGCACTCATTGTCGTGTCCTATAAATATTTTGTATTCGTGGCGTACACTCGCGTTACAGAGCACCCGAAAATGTGTAGGCAAAAAATCAATGTTTCGAAATCTCTCCAATGTAAAATAAAATATTACTATATAGAAAGAAGAGTATTATATCTATATATATAGCTGCAACATATTATTACATAACTTTATAATATTTTGTATAGTTTTATAATTATTAATTATAACACTTGGTCCGACGGTGGCTGTCGGTAACACGAGTTTTCGCGGTCCTGTAGTAAAATATATTTTACTCCACATGAAGTCCAAGTTTTGTCAAGACATTTTATAGGGCATAACACAATTTTTTTTTTTGTTTTTTCCGAAAATCGAAAATGTAAATTTCTTAAGCATATAACTTATTGTACCTAACTATTATAATATGTGTTATATATTATTATGAGTTATGACATACGACATATGAAGCATCTCACGAATGCTTATATAACATTAAAATAATCAATTATAAAACTATAATATTCGTATGAATAATACTAGCTCAATATAGTTTTAATCGTTATTATTTTATGTTCATACACCAAAATGTCCAGATCGATAATATTTTATTTCGGAAAAAGTATTGTATTACATAATATAGATATTGGGTACATAATTATATGGATTGTGCAAATCGAAAATTGAAAAATAAGAAAACCCAATAATCTGCATTATACAAAAAAAAAAAAATTGATTGAGTTTCTTGAAAAATGCAAACGACGAAATGCACTTCCTATAATATTATAATATTATATAGGCACGAGGGTTCTTTCTTGAACTCTGCCGAGAGTTGTCGAAACCTTCGTCGTGTGTATTATAATATATAAAATGTCATAATATTATTGGATCTGTTTGGCAAGGGATAGGTGCACTTCATACACTGCTGCTGCAGCTGCCTCTGTCTCGCAGTAAACGTGTAAAAACCGAAATTAAAAAATCCGCACCATCGCGATATGTATTAAAAAAAATTTATTATTCTCCCGAGTATAGTGTACATACCGTTATTATTTATATATATTATGATTACAAATTATAATTGAACGCGTTGTTCTGTGTATACAGATACGGAGAGAAACAGAGGCGTGCCGATAGCCAAGAACTGTCGGGTATTCAACTGCTGTCGGCCACGGCTTATCAGCTGAAAAAACCTTACCAACAGCTCCTCATACCGATCACCATTTGGATTGGAATGGAACAAGCGTTCATCGGAGCCGATTTCACGCAGGTCAGTCATCGCATACGTGATTTTGAATTATTATTATTATTATTAAGTAGAAGCTACTGTTAAATATATTATATTATATATATTATCTTTAGGACTAGCGTGTGTTGCTTTCTCGACTGTTAATTATTGATTTAGTAAACTTGGCGATGATTTTATTTGACACTTTCCGTGGTAATTATGGTAATTATACTCGTTGACCCAAGTATAAACTGGAGTATGATATCGTGATTCAAAACTGCCGTTGACTTAGGGCGGTCTACGGGTGTTTGCGGTGTAACCGTCTCCCTTCCAAGCGTCACGGCACAGTTCGCTATTTCGATATTTCAAAACCGAAAAAAATAACATACCGATATAGTCGGTTAAGTATACCCATTCAATTTGTGATAGATCTGTTAAAAAAAAACAAATTTTTGTCTTAATCAATTGGAATCGATAAAATTGACACGATAACTTATACAGATTACGTCTTAATAAGGGAATTGAAAATCAAATATTATATTTAAATATTGATACATATATATATATGTATATTTAGTAAATACTAACAAAATATTAATAATGGCGAGTGTCATCGCGCGCTTTTTACCGTATACCCACCTGTACGTATAGGACCCGCATACAGATGCAATCATACGTAATTTTTACCAAAAAAAAAAAGCTACAAAGTGTGAAAAAATCCTTTGGTTATTGAAATTTGCATAAAACGTGGCGACCACACACAATCGACGACGCTCTAACAAAAATAATTATTATTGTAGGTATAGGCACTGCGGCGCTCGGTGGTAAAAAGTAAAAAGTATACCTATACACCAGCTACTCTCTCGTATGCGATTGCATTTATCAGTCTTAAATTAATTGAAAGATCGCTGCTATTCGCCAAGTGCCGACCACCAATATTTAGTTTATATTGCACATTTGCACGTTTCTTACGTGTACACTGTACACACTACGACTCAGCGCTTGAACTTCCGGGCCCTAATACTGCACCACCAGCTAACAACAATACTACACACGTGTCATTGATACGTAGGTATACAATTTTATTGTCGCGAAACTGGCGGCCTATAGATACTCTGCAGTGTAACAATCATAATAACAATATAATGCCCACTATATAATATTTACGTGCACCGCAATAATACAATATAGTACGTTACAATCAGCGAACAATCAATTATAATATTTCACTACACTGCCGAATTAATTTTTATAGTTTCCCGCGCGTGACATTAAATTGTTTTCGTGTTTAGGTAGACATAATACCTATCTATATAATTTGCATCATGCATAATATAATATAACAAAATAATAGTATGTAGATGTACGCGCATCATACGAGCTTTGTCGGGTCTTATAAATAATTATGATATATACTTATGTGGCACTATTTATATACCGTCGATACCGCGGCGATTATACCGACGACCGGGGGGTCGCTCACAATACAGCGCGTACAGTATAATATACTATATATTATCATTAATAATAAGTATAGGTACCCATTGGTTACTAATGTGTATACTCCATGTGTATATTATCATTTTTAGCTTCCATACTATTATTTTTATACATATTTCGTAATTATACATTGGTAAAATTGGGTTGGGGACTTGAGGTAAAGTAACACTACATCGATGGTTTTTTCAGCGAGTAAAGCGCAACACAACGACTAGTAGCACGAGACTCGAACTCTAATATTTACCTATAGATAGATACACGTACATATTTTATGTATATATTTATAAATATGAATAGGTATCAATAAGCTGAATGTTCTAATAGGTAACTAATTCGTATTATTAATTTTGTATAGGTAATAGTTAGTTGTACAAAATGTCAAGTCTCGAGATTTGTATTACTTGCATGAAAGCCGTGGACTTATTGCTATTAAACATAATATACCAAAATTATAAATATCCTTCATAAAACTATAATAATATTATAATGATTGACTCGAGTATGAGAAAAAATATGTTATACTCACCTGAGCTCGTGACTTCGAGTATACATAAAATTATGTGTCCTATAAGATCATATTATTATAGACGTTAAGACGAGCATATATAACCCAAGGACCCAATAGTTGCTGTAAATATATTTTGAATCAAATCTTGTGCTAAGTGGGAAAGTGCAAATACTTTTTTCTAGTGCTTATATAGGCCATTGAGGTTTTTTTCTCAAACCTTCATCATAATACCCATTCATGTAAATTCATTGTTATCTAATACAGTGGGTACCGCCTAATGTGATCACATTGGTTCAGGCCATTTTGATTCTATTAACCAGTTGATTACGGAAAGCATATTATTGTCAATATAATATTTGGTTTGGGATTTTGATTTTTGATTCCAATAAACCAATGATCACACTAAGCGGAACTCACTGTATATCCATCCTCGCCCTGTTTAACCACATTGGTCACTTTTTGATGGATTTCTGATCAAGACATTTCGTATAGGATTTTCTTCAGCCCACTAGAATCGTTTTGATTTTTAGCCGCAGGTTGTATAAGCTTTGAAGATCATCGATTTTCCTTCTCTTATATTCCCCACTTTGATTTCGAACAGGTCCATGCGTTTTCCGTAAAAATGTTCTTTCGAAGAAAAGGAATTCCTATTAGTCTCCTGTATTGACTAGAATATCTCACCTACATTACTATCCGTCACGCAGAGCAACTAGCAAGTTGCAAGTATACAGTTTAATGTTTATCTTTTGTAGTTTTGGACAGTACCCTAGAGCTGAGCATCGTGTTCGTGGCCAAGTGGGTTTTGTTTGTAGTACTCTTATTTTTTTAACTGAATTATTTCACATTATGAACGTTATTTTTGTGTTTATGTCGACCAAATTATCATGCTTTACATTAGGTATGTAGCAGAATTTCGTATTTCCATCATATTGACTAATTTTTCTGGGATTCTCAGCAGTCAGCACTGTCCACAGCTGCAGTTGTTGTCCGGCAGGTAATTGGGAAAAAAAATCACGTATAACAGTTAGGTACCTATAGCTTTGGGGGGATTTTTCCCTAGATTTCTATTTACACTATTGTAGGCTCGCTTCATCAAATCATGAACGATTATTGATCATGTCCGCAGTATTTTCCCATTATCTGTTGGATGTTGAAAATATGGTTTATCGTTGACTTTTCTCCTATGAAACCGAAGACAATAATATATTGTATTAATCGATAAGACCGATTCACGCGTATTTGTTTTTTTTATACATCCTACATGGTAATATTATGTATCACATTATAATGTCGACTTACCGAAGCACCATGTCGGTTTCAGGCGTACGTGTCCTGCGCCCTGGGCATTCCATCCGTCGGGTACGTGATGATATGCTTTGGCGTGGTCAACGCAATATGCTCGTTGCTGTTCGGAACCATTATGAAGTACATCGGAAGACTGCCGCTGATGGTGCTGGGTTTCGTCGTCCACTCGATACTCATATGGATCCTGATCGTGTGGCGACCTCATCCCAACAACCCCAAACTGTTCTTCACCATATCGGGACTGTGGGGCGTCGGCGACGCCGTCTGGCAGACTCAAATGAGCGGTAAGTACATCTGGCATCAGAGACACGTTTGACATTAGTCATATTACAATAAATTTAAATCAGGTTAATCGTAGACGCCGGAAAGGGTGCTGACTCTAAAAAAATGATTTAGTCTGTAAAAAAACAAAAAGGAAGCTATTGTGAGTAACTATTGTAAGTAAGCTTGGCCAGTAACAAAACATTGTATATTATTATGCTTGGTAGGTATACTTAGTTGGTTGACTTGATATTTGGTTCGATCGTGCGAAAAACAAATGTGGTTAAAACCATATACCTATACACTGAGATATAACCTTAAATGTATATTGTATATTATATAATATTATATACCTACATATAATAAGGACTAGAATAATTTAGAACTGTATAGGTATAATAATATCGACATAAGTACGCATATAGGTAGGTGAATATAAACTATTGTATATTGTCATATGAATTTATAAATTATTTTCATGTACCCATGTTAAACTATGTATGCGATCTTTATACCCGAATCGACATATTTGAGTATTTTCTAAAATCTTTTTATATCAATCCAGTTCCCCCATTTGAAATAAAAAACCTATATAAATTCTTATAGAATCGCACTATCATAGGTGTATTTTCTTGGTAAATGACCTAAAAAAATGTTAATAATTGTTGATTATTTGCATGAAACTACGCGATAAATGTAGAAGTATTGTATATTATATATAGGTATAGGTACTAATTAGTCGCCAAAAACAAATACGGTTATAACCTCCGTGCGGTAGCAAGCGACTGCACATCACTCATTAGGTATACAATATATTATAACATAGGAGTCGGTGGCGTTGGGTGTATACTTAGAAATAATTTGGAATTTAACCTTCACCGGAACAATGGGCGTTGCAATAATTAATATATAATTTTGTCAAGTACAAAAGTAGTGATAAGGCGTTCCCCTATATTGTAACGAGTATGTTGTGTAGGTACGATGGTCTGTATTTTAATTTGGTTTTCGCACTATGGGAAGAACCGAACGATTAAAATATAAAATACGTAGGTATAAAAATCGCCATTCGATGTAATATAATATAAATATGGAACCATCGCACACACTCGACAAGCATAATATTATTATTTTACCTATGTGAAGTCAAATCGGAGATACACTGATACATTATGTGTGATGACAAATTGAATTACGATTTACGATAATAAGTACAATATAACGATGAAGTACCTATATTGACCGTAATATTGAATAGTCGACGTTAGTCGTCAGTTGTAGTCAATGATAATTATATTTATATTTTTCTAATATCATGTGTACTACAACACCTCCCATCACCTCCATTATTACATTTGAAAATACTCTCCCCCCTCCTCCCATTTTATTATAAATGTTCACGACATCAAGTTGATGATTTCACCAATTAAAAAAAAAAAAAAAAACAGAATTTAATTACGAGTTCTAATTTTTAGTGAAGCTTTCAAGTTTTATAGTGTTTCTAGGTATAAATTTTCATTTAATCAAAATTATTAAGTCATATACCTCAAAAAAAAATACTGGGCCGTTTTAAAGTCGATATTTGTAGAAAACAATGTCATTATCATAATTAGTGCAGTAGTGCCTTTCAACTATATTATTCAGAATCGGGACGACCCAAAACCGTATAGATATTATACAATTGATCAGTAGTTAGTACATTATAATATTGCGTATGCCCTCCACCGCAATCAAATTCATCGTTGCCACAAATTTCCTCAACAATAACTACCTACAGTATATCTTAACTAAGTCGTGTGTTACTCACATACGTGTATCCATTTGTTAACCGTGAATCCATTTTTATGTAAACCAAATGCATATACATATATTATAAATCAACAAATGTAAATCTCTCCCCCCGACCACAGGCAGTAAGTACTACCGGATGTCCAACACCGCTAATATTGTCCAAAACCCAGATAAAATGAATTAGAAAATTAAATTCGATACGCCTTATAATCTGCCAAAACTTAGTCCGGCTCACCGAGTTAAGCTCGATGCGTATAGATACCAATACTAGCTGGTTCATACCGGATCTGCCCACTGCAGATGTCGAGGGTTATTCTAAATAATATTAAAATAATATATGCATGCATACTTTTGTTATAATAACGTAGCGGTCGATGTCCAATTGTTGTTATTATTATTATCATCATCATCAATGTCATTGTCGTCGTCATTAACTAATTTGCCTCTATAAACCGTCATCGCACCGTCCTTGGGGGAAACCATCACGATAACGGCGATTCATTTCTATAATATTATTATGTATATGTAATTTTCATTGTCCTCTTTTTAAAATTTTTTTTTTTGTAAGTCGACCATTGTACCGATACACATTATCATATAAACGACGAATGACAAGTGGACAGTTTAATTTTTCCTTTGACCTCTGGAAAGCGGATAGGTACCTACATAATATAACAGTCCCGAGGCTGTCGCGTAAACTATAATATGATGGTTACACGTCAACGATACCAACATTTATGTATATAGCAACGAATAAAATTATTATCACACTTTTGAGTTGGTTGATTTCTCTGGGAAACCGTTCCGGTGGTGCCGTCGAGACGAGTTCCCTCGGCAGACGACGACTACGACGATGGCAATAACGATTGATTATAATTTAGTTAATACGCCGCGGATTACAAACTATTACATCATAATAACATAATATCTATGCAAATGATAACTCGTTTTACACCTACGGGGTTAAGTTCAATATCAACTGATTGCCGATTTGTGACAATAATATAAAAATGATATACCGAGGTGAAGTCACTCCATTGCACGACGTATGGTGCCAGTGGCGTGGCAAACTAAAAATTTTCCAGAGGCCAGTTACAATATTGTCCCAAGTATTTATGAATGTAATGTATTAATTTAATATAACAAGGTATATTTCTGATCGTTATTGACTACCTATTGAGAATATCATATTAAATTTACTGGCTACCACCCACCCCTCTATTTAAGAACAATTTCAGAGGCCAAGGCCTCTTAAATTACCGTTCCACTGTATGGTACTAAGTAGTAAGTATTGTAAATCGTATATCACGAGTCGACAGGTGTCAACACTATTTGGTTCGAAATTAATCTGCAGTTTTTTGTGCTCGATTAAATTTAATAGAATCGGATTCAACAGTTATGACGATTTAATAGGTAGGTAGGTTTATATCACACGTCATAAAATCGTTGTATGTCAATACCATACCTAGGTACTTACTAATAAACATAATACCTATACACATATTATTATACAGGTGCGTTCTTATTTTTCGAACAACACTTTTCTCTATCTTCGTTGGCATACTATGCTATTGCTACCGTAAAGAGCTACTTACCCATATCTATACTAATAAAGTTTATGGATGTTTACTGTTTTCACATATCTCTCCACCGATCAATAACAATTTAACTAACTAAAATGTATTAATGATATCCATATAATCGTCAATTATTTCAATACATTATATATTGTTATGCTGTGCAGTTTACGTCATCCCAAAAATCTTCAAATAAATTGTAGTGTTGCGTCTTAACGGACCGTCACCATTCCTCTTTTAGTTGTTGGTCTAACAAATCCTTTGCTGAACACAGCGAGGTAGAAGGACATACAACACAGGCTAAAATAATTCAATATCTAAAAGTAAGCTACTATGGGTGGATATTTACCGGTAATTTATCAGATGCTTAGCAGTGTAAATGTATAATAGCTATATTATAGTATTGTATGACCGTTATAATAATATGCTGTCCATCTTGATAACACGAGTCACAGATACTTTCCCGTAGGTAATAGAATTAAACAAAAACATAACATACATCGTAGGTAGATACGTGAAATTTTCCGGTAGATAGCATATATAATATGTACTGCATGCGCACAGTTTTCTGGTGGGTAACGGTGGGTAGCATAAACTATACACGATTAGGTACCTAATTTTTTTTTTCTTCTCATATCCATCCGACTGCATGTGCATACCCGTCCATCTTATAATTATTATATTGCACATTATACTGTGAATCGCAATGCGGCCGTGTTACGTATATTATAATATTATGTGCACTGTGCAGACGTGGAATACAATAATAATTTTTGAAACTCGCGACAGTGAACGCACCGACTCGCGTGCGTACAATGTAATTTATAATGGAGAATATTATATTATTATGTTATGTGCGCTTATTATATAAAGGTACGCGAAGACGGTTCGGAAAAGAAAAAAACCGATTAAATTCGTCACCCGCTGACACCGCACCGATTGTTTCGAATGTTTTCATATTATGCATCGTAGGTATATTATATATACATAATATTATGCATACTTGTATAATATTATATTTTAATTTTCCATCAAGGACCATCCGTGGTAGCGGAGGTCGCGTGCCAGTCGCCTGACAACAACGAGCAAATGTTTTATGGAATTAATATTATTATTATTATTACTATAATTGCGCATGAGGCGGGAAAGAGTGAAACGATATTATTCAACTATTATAATCAGAGCTGAAGAGCTCGGAACTTGACGTAGCGTCAACACATTATTTTTGAGTTATGTCAATGTAAGGTGCAATCGTTTTTCTTACTTCTGTTACGAAGTCCCGGAATTATGAATTTCGTAAATGATTGAATTTTGACGCTAGCTCAGATTTATAAGCACTATTTCCAGTGTATTTTATACGAATTCATATAATTATGTTCTTAGTAAAACGTGTAAGAGAATTTCCGGAGACGTCCATTTCAAAAATTTGAATGAAATCGAAAAATAAATAATAATATATATGTACTTACTGCTAAACTATATACCGCGAACAGTTGTAACCGACCACTAAGTCGGTATATTCCAGCGGTTCCCAACCTTTTTGAGACTATTACCCATAAGTCAGGTTAGATATTAACATATACCCCCGACCCAAAAAAAAGTTGAGTAAAAAAAAAACAAAACAAAATATATATTATGATAATAATTAAAATGTATAAAATATAAAATATATAAAATGTGTAGACAATTGTAC